CCAACAGGACTGGAACCAAGAGCCTAGATTCCACTCTCAGGCCTGTGACTCAAAGAACCCAAGGCCTGGCCAAGTTCCTACACCTCTCTGGCAGCCAGTTTGCCATCTGTGAAATGGGAACGGCTGTGTTTCCCTCGAATAGAATGAGCACATTCATGAGCACGAATGGCCTTTGTAAACTATAGAACCATCTACAGATATTGACAGCAGCATCAGGGAGCTAGCCAGCTCCCAGAAACCTTGGCTCTCAGAATCAGGACCTCAATTTAACTCTGGTGGGAATGTCCACATACACTGGGGTCTTCCTTAAGAAGTGTTTATGGAGCAATGTCCTGGGACCAACAGGTGCCTTAGAAGCAAACTAGCCTACATGCTTTTTTATAGCAATAAGGGAAAGATATGTCTCAGGCAAGATGGGTCACGTTACAGTGTAGTAACAAATAGCCCAAAATCTCAGAGGTTGAAACCAGAGTATTTCTTGCTCACACTAATATCTATTAGCAGGCAGCAGGGAGCTCTGGTCCTGGTCATCACTGGATCCAGACAAAGGAGTAGCTACCACCTCTCCAGCCGCCACTCACTACTTGAAGGACAAGGGAGCTCTGGGTCTCACTTTGGCAATTAAGTGCTTGGCCTGGAAGTGCCAGATGTCAATTCTGCTCACAAGTTGGGAATCAGAATGACTGTCAAGCCCCATGCGAGGAGACCAGGCAGTGCAAGCCTACCACATGGGTGGAGACGGCTGGAAATACCTGGATAGCAGTCCTGAGGATGACCACAGAAGGAAGGCGGGGCAGCTGTGACAACACCGGGTGCACGGCACCCTGCAGCCACAGCTCCCAGGGAGACCCAACCTCTGTGGCAAGCCTGCCCAGTCCTGTGGATCATCCCCTCCCTGTGACTTTCCAGAACTTTCCAGAAGGCCACGGGCTATGGAGACTCAGAGGCCTGGATTTGAACGCTGGCTCTGGGACTCAATGCTATGCGATCACGGGAAGTTCTGTCCTCTCTGAGCATGTTTCCTCTTCTGTGAAACAGAGTAAACTTCCTGCCAGAAACTATGTCATGAAGATTGCACCTGTATTGTGCCTGCCACCACACCTGGTACATAGAAGGCACTGAATAAATGGTGGCTTCTTCTCCCAAGGGCTCAGGTACCAAAGAGACCCATCCTCTAACCTGGCTCCAGCCTTGCCCCCTGGGTCTCCCCTACCCGATGAGCCCCCTGCTGGCATGGGTTTCCACAGCTCCATCATGTTCTGCAGTGAGGCTGACCCATCTCCCACTGGTGGTACCCACCCCTGTGCAAGGAGACACAGGGATGCTGGCCACCTGGCAGAGGGTGATCCAAAGAAAACCTCAGTGGCTGGTGTGCATGCTCATTAATGAGGAAAACAGTCATCATTGAAACTAGGGACTGAAGAGGGAGAAAGACATTCCAAACAGCACAGATACCCTGGTCTTGAGCATCCTAACCTCCACAGAAGGGCCAGTGGGAAACTCCTAGCTCAGGTACCCAGTGAAGGGGGAGTTTGTCCTCTACAAGTCTATCCCTGCCCAGCTTCCTTATCTTCTCTCTCTATTCCTTCTCCCAAGCTCCAGGCCCAGATGCCCTTTTTGCCCTGGGCACCCCTGTGTCCGAGTCCACAGACAACCCCAATTCAACCTGCCAACCCCACTCATTGTCTATCCCCAGCCTGCCCCAAACCTGGTCTTCCCCTCACAATCCCGATGTCTGTGCAGGAACTTTTGAAGCTATTCATTTGTTCAACATGGTTGTAATGCTGTCTGCCTGCCAGGAGCTGGGGATGCTGAGATGAAAGACATAGTCTCGGCCCCCAGCAAGTTCTCTGTCTAAAGGGGAAGACAAACTGGGACCAGAACCCCAGGGCAATTGCAGGGGCTCGTGGGGCAGGCAAAGGAGGGACCGACTTTGCAGATGAGGCAGGGGGTGGTCAGGAAACTCCCAGCAGAGGTCATCTGAGAGATGAGTGTCCTGGGAACAGCTGGGAGGGGGCGTTCCAGGCAAAGGGAACAACGCTAAACAGCATGGTGTGTTCAAAGAACACAGTCCTCCGTGGCAAAAGCATTAGGGCAAAACTGGATGAAAGGACGGCTTCCCAGGTGGCACTAGTGGTATAGAACCTGCCAGCCAATGAGGGAGACTAAAGAGACGCGGTTCCATCCCTGGGTCAGGAAGATCCGCTGGAGGAGGGCATGGCAACCCACTCCCGTATTCTTGCCTAGAAAATCCCATGAACACAGGAACCTGGCGGGCTACAGTCCATAGGGTCACAGAGAGTCAGACACAACTGAAGTGACTTCAGATGCAGGCCTGCACGAAAGGAGTGAGTGGGGGAAAGAAGGGTGCAAACAAGTGGGGTCACATATTTCAGTGTTGCCTTGCTGGGTCTCTCCCTCCACCGATATGGGCGTCGTTGGTAGGAAATACGAGAGACAGGTGGTCTCGCTGGGGAGCTGGAGCTCTCTGGGGATCCACTAGCAGAGCCCTGGGCCACCCTAGCCTCTGACCTACACTCTGCTTCCTCCTCACCTGTGCTCACGTGACCCCTTCACACTCTGATTCTGCCTCATTTTTCTGGCCTCTTTCACACTCTCTAGTCTCCTGGCTTCCCAGGTGATATGGTGGTAAATAATCCACCTGGCAATGCAGGAGACCCAAGAGATGTAAGTTTGATCACTGGGTTTGGAAGATCCCCTGGAGGAGGGAATGGCGACCCACTCCAGTACTCTTGCCTGGAAAATCCCATGGAGGGAGGAGCCTGGTAGGCTGCAGTCCACGGGGTCACCAAGAGTTGGACACGACTAAGCAACTTCACTTTCATGCTTTGGAGAAGGAAATAGCCCACTCCAGTGTTCTTGCCTGGAGAATCCCAGGGACGGATGAGCCTGGTGGGCTGCTGTCTATGGGGTCACGCAGAGTCGGACACGACTGAAGCGACTTAGCAACAGCAGCAGCAAGTATTTTTGCCTGGAGAATCCCATGGACAGAGGAGCCTGGCAAACCACAGTCTATGGGGTCCCAAAGAGTCAGAAACGACTGAGCATGCATGTTGCCTCTACCTTTTTCTAGTCCCCTCCTGCCTTGGGTTCCCTGCCCCTGAGTTAGGTCCTCCCCAGGTCCAGCCGGGTGAGATCTAGGGAGGGGATTGTGGCTGCCTCATGTGGGTGGGGATGGGAGTGAGCAGCCCAGCCACCTCCAGGTCTCGTGCTGGGGAAAATCCGAGGAAGAACTTGGACTCTAATTTGAGGGTGATGGGAAGGCATAGAGAGGTTCTAAATAGGGACGCGACAGTGCTGGATCTGTGAATTAAACAGATGATGGGAAGATGTAAGTGATGGCCACACTGAGTGCGTGGCCGAGAAGAGCCTGCTGAGCCGCTCAGCAGGGGGCAGCCCCGGTCCGTCTGCCCATAAAGCCGGGGTTTCACAGCACAGAGGGCATTGATGAGAACCAGATTGAAAGAAGTCAGTTTCCTTCTCTGCGGGCGGCAGGGCTCGCCCATTCCCACCTCTTCATGTCCATCAGAAGCTCAAGGTCACTGTGTGAGCTGGGACGTGAACTAAGCTGGCGCCCAGTCTCCAGTCCAGGGTAGCAGAGCCTCTGTGGCCGAGAACTGACACGGGGGCCTCATGGGAGAGAAGAAGCCGTTCACGACCCCCTGCAAGGGCGCAGGGAGCCCCCACAGGCCCCACCCCAGCTCCCTTATGAACGCAGCCTGAACCTGCCACCTGATGGCTTCCACGTCCCCATTTTTCTGGGTTTAACATGACAAAGGAGAGGGGTGCCAGATCAACACCACTCGCCCGGCTGCGGAGAGGGCAGGGCTAGAGAGAGGTAGAAAGCCAGGGTGGGCGTCCCAGCATCCTTCCTCTTGTCCAAACAGAAGATTCCCACAAGCTGCAACTCAACACATGGGGATGCACGCATGAGCACACGAACACCCTGGAGCCGGGCTCACAGTCACAGCCTTTCAGAAGCACCTCAAGGCAGCACAGGCTGTCCCTTCTTTGTTGTTTGTTATTTAGTTGCTAGGTCGTGTCTGACACTTTTGCAAGTCCATGGACTGTAGCACAAGTCAGGCTCTTCTGTCCATGGGATTCCTCAGGCAAGAATACTGGAGTGGGTTGCCATTGCCTTCTCCAGGAGATCTTTCTGACCGAGGGATCGAACCCGCGTCTCCTGCTTGGCAGGCAGATTCTTTATTGCTGAGCCAGCTGGGACCACCTGTCCCTTCCTTAGGCAATCCTCACTCTGAAACGGGACAGGAGCCGAGTGAAGAGACCACCGCACACAGCGGCAGCTGATCCGTCCTGCTTTTCCTCCTGGGCTTTGGCCTCTGAAATCTCCTCTGACATGTTCTTGGTTGCTTTCTGGCTTTCTGTCTCTGTCTCTATTTCTGTATCTTCCTGGATCTTAATGAGGCTTTCAGCTATGTCTTCTTTGGTCTCTCTGGATCTCTGTCCTGGTCTATGTGTGTCTGTGTCTCCATTTCACTGTCTTTTTCTATCGCTTCCTCTGTCCTGACGGCTTTTTTCTGCAGCACCATCACAGCCTAGGAGGGTAGAAAGAGTCCTCACACTTCGTCAGGTCCCAAATGGACTTGTGGAAATGAGAAAACTGGAGCCCTACAAGGGGAAGGCAAGTGGCCCTGGGCAGACACCTGGGCTTGTACTATTATGGCCAAAGCTCTCTTGTTGTATCAAAGGTAGAACCTTCCTCACCAGTTCATGCTGATGCCAAGTAGGAAGAGGAAGCACGGGAGAGAGGACAATGGTGATTCTACAGCAGCGAGGTGGGGGCAGGAAGAGCTTTGAGCCAGTGGCCAGAGCCCAGTTCTAGCAATAGCTGGTCGGTGAGCTTGCTGTTGAACCTTGGGCATGTCACTTACCATCACTAAGCCTCAGTTTTCTCTGCTGTGAAATGGAGATGATCAGAAGAAGGCTGCCTGTTTCACCAGCCTGTGATTAATTTTTAATTAGACAAAAGACACAGAAGTGCTTTGAAACTGTAAAGCATCAGGCACGAATGGAGGGGGGGACAGGGACAAGGACTGATGAAGGTGATAAGGACAGCCCTTGATGTGGATGGTGACGGTGATGATGGTGACGGTGAAAGTGGTGGTAATGACCTTGGTGGTGGTGGTGACGATGATGGTGGTGATGGTATTAGCGGTGGGGAGAGTGGTGACAGTGACGATGGTCATGAGCGTGATGGTGGTGGTGGTGATGAAGATGGTGCTGAGTATTGGGATGATGGTGATGGCGACAGCTGTGATGTTGGTGATAATGAGAGTGGTGATGGTCGTGGGAATGATGATGGAGATGATGCTGATGGTAGTAATGATGGTGACGGTGGTGATGATGATGAGGGCTGTGATGAGAGTGACTCTGGTGGTCACAGGGGTGTTGATGGTGATCATCTTGTAATGTCTTGGATTCAGCCTTCTGAGACTGAGATATAAAACAGCAAGTATTCTTCGGTGCAAGAGCACCCCCTCCAATTCCGCCTTCCCCTTTAAGTCACCCCAAACTGTAGATCCAGGCCTCCAGCCTTCCTGTCTCCTCCAGCTCCTCCCCTGCAGATGCCACACTAGCCAGAGCCCGCGTGTCACGTCTCTCTCTGCAGCCTCAGCTCCCCTTCCCCAGCCACCTTCCCAGCCTGTTCTTTCCCTCGACTCACTCCTACGCCCAGGCAAGGAAAAGGCGCACGCTCACCGTAGCTATTTATACCCAGGAACACCTCACATTTCTCCTGCCTTGGCCTCCTTCCATTCCCCACCGGCCTGCAGGCAGCTTTCTAAGATGGGAGGTAAGGTGCACAGGGTCCTGTCTGCTACCCCACACCAGCCCCCCACCACCCTGCTCTCCCTTCACCCCCTGGGACCACTGCTGGGTGAAGAGGGATGCTCACATGGTGACACCACCAGGTCCAGCCCCCTGCCTCAGTTTCCCCACAGAGAAGTGACCTCTTAGTCTCCGGAGACAGTGAGAAGAGCCCGGCACAGGTGAGGGTCAGGGGCTTCCCACGTCTGTCGTCGCCCTGGCCAGTCCTCAGCAGACCAGAGCCAGCAGAGTGACAGGAGGCTGAAGGATGGGTTGGGTTTTGTCTGTGTCCTGGGATACCCATGCCCTCTTCTGCAGCCCTGCTCTCAGCACCGGGAAGAGTCGGGACTGGCCAGGGACCAGAAGGGATGGAGAGAAGGAGGGAAACAGAGCTATTGGCCAGAAATTAAGGCAGAGGGTTTCTCTGGTGGCTCAGCAGTAAAGACTCCAGCTGGCAACGCAGGAGACACAGGTTCAATCCCTGATCTGGGAAGATCCCACACGCCTTGGAGCAACCGAGTCTGTGTACCACAGCTACCAAGCCTGTGCTATAGAGCCCAGGAGCCACAACTACCGAAGCCCATGCACCCTAGAGCCCGTGCTCATCAGCAAGAGATGCCATTGCAGTGAGGACCCGCGAGGAGCCCCCGATCGCCGCAACTAGAGAGAACCCTGGGCAGCAATGAAGACCCGGCACAACCACAAATAATAAATAAAACTTTTTCTAAAAAAGCAAAGAAGGCAGAGGTTTGAAGCTCTGGCACCTACATCCCAATACCAATAACATTTTCCATCCTGTCACCCTCTCTTCTTGTGCCTCAGTTTCCCCTCTGCAGGAGGCAGAAGCCCATCGGTTACCCTCCCTGAAGAAGCAGTTGGGGCCCGGCAGCCTCCCACCACCCTGGCCTCCCCAGGGTCACTCACAGACTCCCCACCCCGTCACCCCACTCTGGCTGCACCTTTGACAAGAACTACTGGGAAATCAATCACCCCAGCAGAGCCGGGCCCGGGCCCCTGACATTCCAATTAAACACTTCACTCTGACCTTGGTTGCATCATCTCGGCTTGGAATAACGTCATCTATCTTCCCCAGACGGACGGAGCTTACAGGCCAGGCACAGGGGACCAGAAGTCTCCCACCCTCTCCCCACCAGAGCTGGCCTCAGCGCGACAGGGACACATTTCAATCAGGGGGAACGGCAGCACTTTCAGGAAGAAAAGCCGTCGGCCTTCCCAGGGACAAGCATTCATCTCCGCAGGGGGAGTAAAACAGCCTTGGTCCCTGCCAAGGGGAGCCCCGTGTTTATGCCTCTGCCCTTCCCATTAGTCGGGCTGTCACCAGGCAGCCGGGCCAGCCTTGAACTCTGAAATCCCAGGAAAGGGGCAAGCAGTGGGAAGGGAGACCTAGGACAGGGTCTGATGGGACCTCTTTGGGGGAGGGCGGGGCCCCTGGGCCAGGTGTCCTTCTCTAATGAGGCAGCTTCAGTCTCTCCACAAGGCAGCCCCCAATCTGAGAGGGGCAGGTGTGGTTCTACCCCAGAGCCTCTTCCAGACTGATGACAGCCTTGTTTTAGGGGAGTCCCAGATTAGGAGGAAGGTTTGCCCTGGGGAACCCCCTTTCTGAAGGGGGAGACATAACCCTGCCTTGTGGAAAGCCCAATTTGAGAGACAGTCCCTGCCCAGAGGACCTACCACCCCACCCCAGGCGTAAAAAGGCAGACAAAACACCCACCTGGGGAAACATCATCTAATGGCTAAACCTGGTCTCTGCTCATGAACACGTGTCCTGCACACCCACCTCGTGGGCCCTGGGGATGGAGAGCCCCTAATGCAGGGCTTCCCAAAAGACCCTTGGCTGCAGGCAGGCTTGACCAGAATTCAAATGCCAACTCTCTGCTTTCCTTCCTGTGTGTCCTTGAACCAGTGACTCAGCCTCTCTGAGCCTCCGATCTCGAACCCGGAACAGGGGACCGGCCTTGAGGAGGAGGTGGGAAGGCTGTGTATGTGAGGCACCCAACAGAGTGTCTGGCACGCAGGGACCCTCAGTGGAGGGTGACGGCCTCGACAGGTCAACTCAGAGGACCAGGCAGAGAGGCAGCCTGGCCAGCTCAGGAGCCCCAGCCCTCGAGAGAGGGGAAAGGAGCCCACGTCCCATGAGGTAGTAATGAGCCAGCAGTGGGACCAGCAGTGGGGCCCCAACAGCCCTCCTGGGGCATCAGAAGATGTCACAAGGCCAGATGCCCACAAGTATACTGAAGATGACCCAGTGGCTTAGAGTCTGGGGGCAGGGAGCCAGGACCCACCACCCAAAGCAACTCCAGATTTTAAATTAGAATCTATCACCCTAGAAGCAACAGTGGAGGCTTTTTGGATGCCCCCACCTCCAAGGAACAGCTTCGGGGCTGGCACCGCTTCCCTTGGGGTTATTTTTAGCTTGTTTTCCCAGTAATGATCCTTTTGGGTGGATTTCAGGGTTGTGGCTGCGTGCTTTCTGGGAGAGCAGTATCCATACAAAAAAAAAAAAAGAGAGAGAGAGAGAGGGGTTTTTTATTCATAGTAATTCAACTGGATTTGTAAAGTTATTATTAAGCATTTGTCACCACAAAAGTCACTTTGATTTGGTTTTCTTGGGAGCTGCCCTCCCTGCCCGATTTTTCTTGCTTATCTTACACAGGACACCTAGGGAGTTTGGGGGTCTGTCAAGAACATACAGGAAAAAAAAAACGAAGACCACTCTTCACAGAAAGAGAAAGAAGGCAAAGCCTCTGGGGTTTGCCTCTCGGGGGGAGCATGAAACTGCTAACAAGGACATAAAACACGCAGAGTGTTTGCCAGTTACTGCTCCCAGCTGCGTGGCCACGCTCCCCGGCGGGCACTACCACCGTCCTCATTTTACAGGCGGGGACCTGGACACAGAGACGGTAAGGCAGTTGCCCAAGGTCACACAGATAGTAGATGTCGGAGCCTGGGCCGTCTGACTCCAGGAGCCAGACCCAAACCACCCTCAAGACCTGCTCAGACAGTAAAGGATCTGCTTGCAACGCAGGGGACCCGGGTTCGATCCCTGGGCCGGGAAGATCCCCCGGAGAAGGGGATGGAAGCCCACTGCAGTGCCCTTCCCTGGAGAACTGCAGGGACAGAGGAGCCCCGTGGGCTACAGTCCATGGGACTACAAAGAGTCGGACACGACTGAATGACTAACACTTTCACTTTCCCCACTAGACAGCCCACGAGTTTCTGAGAGACAGGTGGTGAGGTGGAAACCAAGATGCCTTCCAGTTAGCCTGAGGATGGGGGCAATCTCCAAGGAAAACATTGTAGTCACTTCAGACTCTCTCTGGGATTCCCCTGCTGCTGGTTTCCGAGGTGGACTTGAGGAGTCCTGGGGAGACCATCTTGGGAGGGTATTTATAATCCTATGTGCTCTGAACAGGTGAAAAGAACACAGGCTTTGGGGCAGACAGAACTGAATCCCAGCTCTCTCACTTTCAAGCTGTGTGTCTCTGAGCCAGTTGCTTTATCTCTCTGATCCTCAGCTTCCTCATTCCTCAAAGGGGATAATATTTACATACTGGTCAGAATTATACTGAAGATTCAAAAAGGTAATAAATAGGGAGTACCTGAGACATTGCAGGACACTGGTGTCCAGGCTATTGCCTCTGTTGCCCTTCATTCATTCATTCGTTCATTCAGTAGAGATTTATTAAACACTTGTTTAATGTATGGGACTGCATTCAGTGTCATGGGAGATTGAAGGATGAATAAGATATAAGCTTTGTCCTTAAGGATTTTATAAGCAGAAGCTAAGTGAGCAGGTGAATTCCAACTACAAGGTAGACAGTGATTGATTCCGTCTGGAGTGATGAATAAGGCTTTGCAGAAAAGGCTCCACAAGGAGGTTGGAAAGGAGGAACAGATATTCTGAGCAGAGATTATGGCAGGCAAAAGGCACCAAGGCAGAGAAGCGTACAGCCTATTTAGGGTAAAATGGTCAAAGGCGGGCGGTGAGTCGGGAGCTTCTCCAATGGCTGAGCTATAAAGAATCCGTCTGCAATACAGGAGACGCGGGAGACAAGGGTTCAGTCCCTGGGTCGGGAAGATCTGCTGCAGAAGGCCACGGCAACCCACTCTAGTATTCTTGCCTGGAGAACTCCATGGACAGAGGAGCCTGGTGGGTTACAGTCCGTGGGGTCACAAAGAGTCGGACACGACCGAGCAATATAGCCTGAGTATGGTCAAAGAGGGAGAAGGTGTGAATCAAGCACTAAATGCACATCTGAAGAATTGGGAATCAATCCTCCAGGCAGTGGGGTGCCATAGATATTTTGTAATTTAATTTTTCTTTTTATTTGGCTGCCCTGGGTCTTCAGTGTTGGGCACAGGCTTTCTCTGGTTGTGGCGAGCAGGGGCTACTCTTCATTGCAGTGCGAGCGCTTCTCATTACAGTGCCTTCTCTTGTTGTAGAACATAGGCTCTCATTCCTCCGACTCAACAGATGAGCTAAGTTGCTCCGAGGCATGTGGGGTCTTCCCAGACCAGGGATCAAAGCAGTGACCCCCTGCACTGGCAGACAGATGCTTAACCACTGGACCACCAG